AAATATTAATAATGTCATTCTATAATGGTTAGTCGCTCAGGACAACCAACCAGACTTAAACAAAGAGAGATCTATTTTATTGCAGGTTTTTACACTGTGTTTGAGTGCAGCAGTGATCCGGGAGGAACCTCCATCATATCGGAGGTGGACAATATTGATTTCCACCCCAATATATCAGCAAACTGATTTATTGGTGTGTTCTGAATGCGAGCGCACAAACCAATTCACAAACCTCCATCACCAAACATCACAAGAGCGCCCTGACTGATTGCCGTGTCCCACGCATGTCTGCTCGGAGAAGCACAGCCAAACTACACACATACACACACTCGTGGGGCCCTCTCTTCATCCTCAAGGTCAAGAGCTGCTGGGAGGCAGAGGCTCCTCATTGACGGCCTGATGGAGCTGACACCATGCGACCCATTGTACACACATGTTGATCTGTCCCCAGACATGGCCTGACAGCAGCACATAAGGCCGACGGCACGCTAAACCATCAATGCATTTCAATGAGAGGATCTCACCGTTCATGTTTGTGTGTGGGACAAGAAATGTAACGGGTGGGGGATTGAAACAAAGCTAAACACATTTGCAGGCTGGACAAGCCTCGGCCGGGTGGAGTATGTAATCCAAAACCAGGCCAATGATTATCTCCCCTCCCCGCAAGCGCTGACTCAATTCTGATTTATGATTCGAATGAATATCGATTTTCCAGGACACCCCCCCCCCCCCGTCTCTCTTCCCTTCCATTTCTCCTTTTAACAAAAGAGTGAATGATGTATGTGCATTGATTTCCAATCAATTATTTTTATTTTCATTTTATTTAAGCTTGGACAAATTTTCAGTGGCCCCCGCAGAGAGCAATGCATCTCTATCAATAGTGCTGTGCCTCATTACTAACTGGCCTTCTGATGGTAAGCAGGGAAATAATGAGGGGATGTTTATTTCTGCCTGTCACATCTCCTCAAACATTGTCCGACCATATATTTATGTCTCATTTGACATTGACACTGACGACGAAATAAAATGTATGAACATGTCAAATCCCTTTTTACTGTATGTACCACTGAGGGCTTACTGAAAGATGCAATCCAGTTGCATTATGGGAAATGTAGGAACTAGTGTTTTGTTCTACTGTAGTTTGACACATACTGGAGAGTAAACGTTAGGACATTTCCTTCTCCGCTGCCTTGATTTTGACCTCTCTGTTGGCTGTTAGTTTTATGGCAGTGAAATACTTAACTAAAGTGGATTGCTTCACATAACATCTGCTAACATCTGTCCAGTTAGGCTGGTTTACCCCTCTGTCAGTCGAACATGGTCCTGAAATGTTCCTGAGGCTGTCTATTTAAACAAGACTGTGTAACCTTTGCTGAAGTAGCCACTGTACTCAAGCCAGTTTTTTACAGTTGAGTATTATAGGATAATAATAAAATGAAATTAGTCATTAAGTCAAAAAACTAACTAAGTAATGAGTATTATAACAGTAATATCAAGCTAAAGTTTGGTAACATAAGCTATTAGTCACATCTGACCGAGTAAGGCCGGAGTGGAAAAACCCCTGAGTGTGATGAACTCAGCAAGGATGTGTTTAATTGTTCACGAATTTCATTTGTAAGAGAATGTTTGATTTCAAAAATAAAAATAACCCCACTCTAAATTCAAGAAAATACCTGTGATTTAGAAAATGAATAAAATCTCATTTGGACTCATAACAATAATGTCAAAATCGATTAATCCTCTTTTCCATATTATTTGTAACCTTCTATAAAAAATCTGAAAATAATGAAAAATGTCAATCACAATTTACAGAATCCAAGGTGGGAACTTCAAATGTCTTGTTTTGTTCAAAACAACACAATAAAGAGATTCAGTTTATTATTATAGAAGACAAAATAGCAACAAAACCTCATATTTGAGAATCTGTCATCGTCCTTTGACATTTTAGCTTGAAAACTGACAAGCAGTTAATTGATTAGCAAAATAATTGATTAACTTTCTGTTGATCATTTTGATTAATCGACCACTCAAAGCTGCTCTAACTTCTGCGTAACCAGGTCTGTAGAGTATGATGAGAAAAACTTTGGAGAACAGCCATAATCTATTTCCCCATGCACATGATGGAAAACCATACAAGAGTGGGTCTCCAATGCACCCAGGTTACGCAGAAAAACCCCTTAGAACAACTCACTGATTGGGTTGACAGTGATGCATTAAAATGGGTCATCCTGTAATTGCTCTTTCCTGTGGCTACTGGCTGGGCTGGGATTACATAACGATGATAAAGCTGCGGACCTGGCCTTCCAAGATAAAAGCTGCCATGCAGGACCTCGTGCATTCTCTAAATGCTTCATCTAAGAGGCCCTCTGAAGGAAGTGATTACTACAGAGCTGCCCACTAATGCTCCAGCGGGACCCGGCAATGTACTCTGTTATTCATCAAACACATACACTGTAAGCCTTGGCAACTTCGGAAATGCATGAATAATGAGTGGGCATATTATTGCGTGGTGACAAGCCATGCATTTTGTTACATTACATGTGGTGACAAAAGAAGTTTTCTCAGCTCTTCTAAATGGACATGGACTCAGTGAGATTTTACTCTTCAAAGCAAAGTGTCCACTGAGTCCTGGAGGGACATAATGAATAGCCCCATTAGTAACATAAAAGCAAAGTGGAATTCCTTTACAGGGCTACTGAGGGCAGCTCCAGGCTTCACAAGGCATCCCATCGCCATATGACTAAATCAGATGCTATGGGTGACAAATATGGCCTCACAGCTGAGAGCAGCACAAAGGACACTCAGTTGTCTACTCGTTCCGCCAACAGAAAAATACTGCCACTCTGAAGACAATGTGGCTCCTGTGCAGAGATGTTGTTCATCTCATCAGGCCATGGTGTGCCAGGTTGTGGTGCGACTTAATGCTGTGAGCTTATGCAATAGCTGCAGGAAGCGATGCCTCTGTGGCACGTGAGTACTTCTCCAAAGAGGAAATGATAAGAATAAGTAGATGACGTAGTGCCATTACCAAATATGTGATGGAATGCTACTGGAATGAAAAGTCATTCATGAGGGAATATAGCTGGGTATCACCAGACAATAGTGGAACTACGAATATAATCATTTAACTACAGTGCAAAAGTTTCTCTTTTTACTTTGATAAATGTCTTAAACTTGAGATCAGAATCTAAACTTTGGTTCTTGCATTTTACCCTCTGAGATCAGATCAGATAGATAAATTCCAAGTTTGCTTTGTTACAAATAATGTTAAACTTTTCTCTATTTTGAAAAAAATGAAATAGTTTTTCATCTTCACCTCCCCAAGCTTCTAAAATTACAAACTTAACTGTTTTATTTTAACTGTATTATTTTTACCTAGCTCTAGAAATATTATATCTATACAGAGCCTACAGCCTTAAGAGGAAGTACAATTAATGGATGTCAAACTGATTGACTAAATGTTTAGGCTACATGCATGTCATTTTTTTTAATTAAAGCAAATATTATACAACAGAATTGTCATAAATTAGAGAGAATAGAGCATTTTAAATTATTTTTAAAAAATTATTTCAATGAAATTATTTAAAATCCCTCTAATTAAACAGTCTGAGGAGGAAAACTCTCTTCAAGCTGAACTGTTTAACACTGTCAGACTGTATGGCCATGGGGCATACAGGGACAAAGCATACATACAAGGGGAGGGGGAAGGATGTTTGAGAGTGTGCTGCTCCGCCGTGCGTCTTCTGGAGCTGGGCTCTATGTCCACTCGCAACAAAGTTTCAACCCCAGGGGGTAAATCCAGGGCTGAATTTGTTTCCCTATCCAACCCTGCTGCTTATTGTGGGGTCACAAGCAAACATCACTTTTTTCTTGACAAACAAAATCTCAACAAGGGAATGATTCGACATTGTGTGTAATAACTATAGGATTTTTTTTAATGTATTATAATAACTAAACCGGAGTATAACAAATTCTTTAACTTTGCCGAGCTTCTTTGAAATATTAATTCTGCTACACGTTCTTTTAAGTGCAAATTAGGTGGGGAAAAGTTTTTTAAACTAATACCAGGCTGCTCTTGTCAAACCTTTGCTTTAGGACAGAGCAACTTTCAACTTTGATCTTGTACTTTTCAGCCTTTCAGTAAAGAAGCAGGAGTCTGTATTAATTCAGTCAGAGGGGAGAGGTGAGGACTGATGTTTCCTCTAAACTCATATGTATGCTGATAACAAAACATACAGTCACTGTCACAAGAGGTGTGTTCATTGAGTGTGACTTTTAGTGGCTGATGTCAACACATGCACTTCACCATAGTTACAGCCTTTGGTGAACTCATCCCCTCAAAACAGCAGTGTTGCAAGTGCCACTTGTGACAAAGTTAAACACGTAGAGAAGCTGAAATGTTTGTCACATAAGGGGAGTAAAACTGTTTCGGCTCACAGGCGCTGTCTGTGGCGAAACATGCAGCCGAGAGAAAAAGACTACAGAGAAACCGAACACACCACCCGGTTATATACATGCCTATAAATAACCAGCCAATCAGCGGCGAGCCACTGGGAGTTAAACGCACCAATTAAAAGGGAGAAGGAACCAAATTAAGTCAGAGGCCGGTCGCGATTGGTCGGCTGTGATATCATTTGCAATCCCGTACACTGCTCACCTCGGATTGGCTGACACCCTGCCGGCGTAATCCTGCCGTGAGGAAGGGGGGCGGGCGTCGAGGTTTGAATAGGGAAGTTTGCAGAGCGCAGTTGTTCCCCATCCAGTCCGGTGCAGTGTTTGCAAATACTGTGAACGCAGGCGAGAGAAGAAGAAGCGAGGGGGGGGACTGACGGACGGACGCTCGTCTCTTGCTGCTGTGTCGCTGCTGAAAACAAGCGCCTCTTCGTTTGCATCGCAGGGGATCGCTCTTATTCCTTTCACTGGGTGTTTTTCTACCTGAGAAAAATATTTAAGAACAACTAAATAGGCTTTTTTTAAAAAAAAAAAAAAAAGCTCGGGAAAAATGGATGTTCTACCCATGTGCAGCATCTTTCAAGAACTTCAAATAGTTCACGACACGGGCTATTTCTCAGCCTTACCGTCACTGGAGGAGTACTGGCAGCAGGTGAATATGTCTACTATCAACTGTCTTTTTAAGTCAGTGTTTGAGCTTGTGTGGCAAAGCGGAACTGAGTGGGTTTCACGCTTCTTTTGCTTTAATAGATTACACCGCGGTGTTTTAGTGCTGCTAGGGGAAGTTAAAAATCCCATCATAACGGTTGTAAACACAGGTCCTCCGGTGCTTAGACGGAGCCCATCCATTCACCTGGCAGGTCTGTGTCATTATCAGTTTCGTTATGAAGTTTTTGGCAGGCTGAAGTGGATCAGTGTGTCAGTCTGACAGCTGGAGTCGAGGCTCTGCTGCGCCAAGATGAATGGGGGGAGAGTAACTCTAGCAGCAGCAGCAGCAGCAGCAGCAGCAGCGCAGGCAGCAGAGAAGGCAGCGTGCTGCTGCTCGTTACTGCTCTGTTATATTTTCAGCATGAGCTCTCCTTCTTTTAGCGGATGGTTTCAGCGCATGAGAGCTGGTTTCACTTCCAGCCGGTGAAGTCACCGCGGATGTTAGACGAAGCGGAATCTCAATTCAGTGAGCAGTTCATTCAAAATCAGATGTGGTGTTGACTCAGGATCACCTCTGCAGCTCAACAGGAAGTAATCTGATGTTGTTGTTTTTTTTATCTTTATAACATGATTCAGTCTGTTTCAAAACCTACATTATTAACCTTTAAATCCAATTTAATTTTTCAGCTTCTTATTTTCTAACCCCATGTTAAAGATTTTAACATTATTCTCACCCCTTTTCTGCTCCACAACATTTATTTTAGTTAAGAACATCCAATTTGCATCATCCTGTGATTTGAATGGGCTCCACAACATGACACTATCAAATGTCAGCCATGGCCAATTCCTCCTTGCATGAGTAGACAGCAGCACAGCTGGAAAATACTGTGCTGCAGAAGCCTAGAGGAAATATTTACTCTACATCTGCCTCGTCAAAGCTGCTGTCTCCGAGCACCTTCTAATGAACAGCCCCTTCTTTTCAACTTTAATGGGCTCTGAAGTAAATTGAAGCCAGTGTATCTTTTTACGGCGGCTGACAGTGAGGAAGGATGTGATTGCATGTCAGAGGTACGCATGAGGAAAAAGCAGCTGAATGGCTCATGTTTGGAGAAGGAAGTTGAGCGGCTTCCTTAAAAGGACTCTAAATGTGTTCAGTGAGTCATTCGAGTGCTGAAATGACGATGCATGTTTAAGTGTTGGGCTACACTCAGGTGCAGCAGAGTTGGGAGTTTGTAAAGATGGCTGGTGCATGTAAAGATGTGTCAGATGAGGCTTGACTTTTTGAGGGAGGTTGAGTTTAGCCATGTAAAACCCATAACCAGTGAATTAAGAATCGTGAAATGCAAATGCTCATCATGCTTTAAACTTCCACTAACATTATCGATTAATCGGTTGATTATTTTAAGTGTATGAAACAGCTAAAAGTAGAGAAAAACACACATCACAACTTCCCAGAGACCAAAGTGACAAGCTTAAATTGCTTATTTTGTCTATTTTTTATTCAAAAACCAAATAATATTTCATTTACCATCGTATATGATACAAACAAATGGCAAATCTTCATATTTGAGAAGCTGGAACCAGCAAATATTTGATATTTTTGCTTGAAAAATGACTAGATGATTCATTTTCTTTCAACTGACTAATCGATGAATTGACAAATCATTGCAGCTCTAATGTATGTACAATAAAGATAAGTGCAGGAACATCTAAAATGTCCTGGTGTAAGCATTTAACAAATATTACTCTACATGAGGGATTGTGGGGAATGTGCACATGCATCATTTAAAAGGATTTCCCACACAGAAGCATTTTGCTGTTGTGAATGAACCCCCTCTACTCAGGGATGCTGTAGTTCATTTTTTTTTCTTACTGTGTGTTTTCATTCAACCAGACATGTTTGGAGTTGGAGCGCTACCTGCAGAGCGAGCCTTACGTCTCCACATCCGACCTCAAGTTCGACGGCCAGGAAGACCTCTGGAGCAAGCTGATCTTGGCCTGCGGGGATAAGGCCAAGGCCGAATCTGACCCAAAGCTGGCCCCGGCCCACGAGGAGGACAATCAGGACAGCCAAATCTTGGACACCAACAGTGTGAATTCAGACGCCAGCAGCGAGGCTTCAGACAGTTCTGAGGAGCTCTCGCCCACGCACAGCTTTACCTCCAACCCTCTGGGCTCTGTCTTGGTTGGTTCTGGACCTTTTAGCCCCTCCGTCATTAGCACTCCCCCGTCCTCACCGGAGGCCAACTCGGAGCCCGGCGCCGTGACAAACGGCTGGGTCGCCACGCACACCGAGTTGCACTTGCCAGTCAAAATTAGGAGCGGCGGGGTGGCAAAGACTTCGGAAAAGACGGGAATCATCTGCGGGGACGCGTCTCCAGACGGCAGGAGGCGAGTACACAGGTGTCACTTCAACGGTTGTCGCAAGGTTTACACGAAGAGCTCCCACCTTAAAGCACACCAGCGCACTCATACAGGTGAGTTCACATGACCTATCAGAGCCACGTGTGACCTAATGTAAACTGAAACCTGGTGAGAAAGGCTGAGTCTTCTCTGCTGGCTTCAAGCAAAAGCAGTTCATTCATAGAGTCGCAACATCACAGCTTTTATTGAGTGAAGGGTGGAAGTGCTATGAATTCAGTCCTCCATCGTAACGGCATTGTCCATCCATTGTGTAATGTAATTAAAGGTCCACATTGCATGATGTCCTCAGCTGGAGCGCTGCAGTATTAGCTCTGCATGGCTGGATACCTAAACTGTGACCTAATCTATCTGGAATGTGACTGACTGAGCCAGTGAGCGAGAGGAGGAGAGAGAGGGAGCAGGGGGGAGGGGTTGCACATGGGAGATAAAAGGACTTCAAAACAGATTGAGTTTCACCATGGGAAAGGAGTGAATGGGTGGGGAGCCAGGGGGCACTGAGTGGGAGGCCTCTGAATGGCCATTTGAGTGTTTTTTATTTTTGATTAGAGGCGTGAAATTGCTCGTGTGGCTTTTTTTTTCATTTATTTTATTTTTAAATATTCAGCTGCACTGCATTGCTGTTAGCATTCTTAGCATGTTTCAGGCTGCAGAAAAACAGCCAGTGGTCCAACAGGTTCAGTGGAAGCTGGGTCTCGGCAGACTTGTAGGCACTTATGTCATCTGGCCTGGCCCCGGGGTGATTGATGCGAACGTATTTAAATAACAACAGTGCAGAGCTGGCCAGTCGTCGCCTGAGTGCATTCCTTTTTGTTCTCGTGTCCAAATCTGACCTCAATTCATCATCTCCTTGTTCGTTCTGCAGGTGAGAAACCATACAGGTGTTCATGGGAAGGCTGCGAGTGGCGTTTTGCACGAAGCGACGAGCTGACCAGACACTTCAGGAAGCACACTGGGGCAAAGCCATTTAAATGCAGTCACTGTGACAGGTAAGCCAGGCCATTTATCTGCAAATAACGTCACTGGGTTTTTGATAAGCCTCTGTCCCTCTCTCACGAGGCTACAACGTGCATCACACGCATCTCTGTTGATGTGATCTTCCAAATAGTGATGCATGTCTCCAAAGATTGAAAGCACTGACGCATTTTATTCAAGTAGCTTAAAACTGGAGCCAGACTGATAAATAGACCAGGGGTATACGTGGTCCCGATACTAGCTTATCGCAGCTCATTGCAGCTGTGTGTACGTTGGCAAATGACAGAAATCTGAAGCACAGAAATGCCAAAGATAAGAGTTCCACTCAGTACATTTTGTGTTTGTAAAAATATCTCTTTGTATTATGGGTTGTGTCAAGAAAAATCAACATCAGCTTGATATATATCAGTATCAGTCTCAAAAATCCAGTATGAGTCAGGCTATATTTACAAGTGAATTTTTAACTGTTAGATGTCCTGCTCAGTTTGTATCTTGGTAACAAGCAAAAAAAAAAAGTACTCTTAGCTGACTCATTATTGGATTTTTTAAACTCCCAAATCGACATCAGTATTTGCCTCAAAAATCGAGCTTTAGTTTGGCTACGCTAAAAACAAATCAGGAGGAGATAACTGGCTTTATTAATAAGTACATGAAATTAAAAAGCATGTGATCTATTGGCTAAATCACTAATTTTCTGAAGGATTAATATTTAAAATCACTGTAGCACAAAGCTTCTAATAAAAAGTTATTATTATTGTTTATTATAGTTATTTAAAAAAGCATGGTTATTGACTTGCTTCCCCCCTTTCCCCAGATGTTTCTCCAGGTCTGACCATCTGGCTCTTCACATGAAGAGGCACATCTAGAGCAGGGCGAGCACCAACCAAGCAACACAGCGAAGGGGAAAGTTTTTTTTAAAAAGAAAAAAAAACAAACGCCGTCTCCCGACCAGTCTCTTGGTTGAACTGTCCCAGAGCAGAGTGGCGGGAGTGTGTTCCAGCCAAAGCATGCCGTTTTGCACCATACTGAAACCCAGTGCCTCCGGGACCTCTCTTTGGAGAAAGGCGCTCTGAAGGTTGTCTGTTGCGACGAGAGGACAAAATCATGGATGGGAAAGAATTTGTTCTGATTTGAGAAGGACTTACAACACACGAAAAAAGACAAAAAAAAAAAAAAAGATAAAAGACACACAAACAAAAAGAGTGAATGATCTGTATGTATGGTGCATGATGTTTTGGGGACATCTCCCGGACAGCAGATACACTGGTACTTTACAAAACTGTCTGAGGTAAGCATGTGTGCACTGTGAATGTCTGAGATTGGCCGACCGGCCCCCTGGAAGGAGAGAAGTCAGGAGGATTTTTCAGAGAAGCGATGGATTGGTGGATGGTGCGGGGCTGGTACCAATGTTGCTGTGGACTGAATGGGTTTCTGGGGGAAACAGTCCACTTGTGTTTCCCCGGTGGCAGTGTGAGGATGAGGCAGGGAGGAAGTCCCTGCCTGTCTGTCTGTCTGGCACCCAGACTGGGGTGGGGTGGGGGATGGGGGTGGGGGGGTTCAGAAGCTTTTGAAGCCTTGGGTTTGACCAGAGATAGAGAGAGGGTTGATGTGTCGCCTTCTGGTCTCTGACCCAGGGGCCAAACCCCACCCCCCACCCCCCCACCCCCGGTCACTGTATGACAGGAGCTTTTTTTGGTGTTTTTGGTGCAGCTACTAAATGTGCAATGTGTTATGTAGCCTGGTTTATTATTTTTTTACAAGCTACAAAGCTCATTTGTAGTCCAATTGTATAAGCTGTGTGCTTAGAGGTATAACACAACTATACTATAACTTCAGTATCATAGACAGGTGTTGCATGGTTCTAGGGTTTGTTCATTTCCTGTTTCCACTGTAATCAGGACTGCAAATAGTTTCAATAAAAGTGCAGCTAAAATGCGAACAGTTAAATGTTACAATATTGTACATAAAGCCTTGATGATTTCCTCTTATTTTTACAACATCATCCATTTCCTTCATTCTGGTTTCTCATCCGGCTGATCTCACCACTGCTTGCTCATTCATCCTATGCCTTGAGGACTAATTTTGATTTTTGTACTTTCTTTTCTATCTAATAATGCACTGTTGACCTTAATGGTGCCTTATGCAAGTGACTCAGCCCTGTGGCAGCGTTGGTTTTGCTCCTCTCGGGAAGTCACATTTGTTGTATGGGTGATTTGACAAGCTTGATCAAGGCTCAATTACAAATTAAACTCGCACCTCCTTTTTAGTTTTAATGAAAGTTGCCTGCATCTACTCCGATGGTGAATCGTGTTGTCAAAATGTAAATTTTCAGAAAAGTATCTGTTTTTTTGAATCAGAGAAAACAGTGCAGATGATGTATATCACATTCAATTGAGTCAGAACATGTAAATAAGACAAATGCTGTATGTTTAGAGCACTTCATTCATTTATTAAAGATGTTAACTACTGTGTAGTATGTACTCAAGTCCATCCACACAGCTCTAAGGTACAAAATTACCAGACTAGATGAATGAAAATGTTTTTTTTCATAGTTCAAACAATTCATACAGAGTGCTGCTCCTCCACCACCATCACAGGCACCATCCTCCCCTCCCTGTCCCCACCCCACCCTGTCCCTCCATCCCTGCAAGTGGGACTGAAGAAAAAGCTAAAGATTTATTGTAATTAACAGGCTGCAGTCGGACAGGCCTCGCCTTGTACTGCCTCTCAGTAATGAATTGCTAAAGGCTTTGTTGGCATGGAATCTGTCACAGACTGCTGACTGTGTAGGTTGGTTATTGACCTGTCTGGGGAGCGTTGTTTTAGCCAAGCTGCAACAGTATTATGAAAACCACAGGAGCGAGGGGGTGGGGGCTCTCACGAGGTGGAGGAGCAACCATTGATGTCGCACATGGTAATTTGACAAGGAAAAAGGAAAAAAAAGCCCATGATGGTATCTCCCCTAAAAATGTCTAAAATAATTATAGGGATTATACTTATTACTGCTTCAGGATAAAGCGATCTGTGCCACCCACTCCAGATCAGCGACCTCGCTGTAGGAATTCGATGCTGCAGCAAGTCGTACCGTGGCATGCTACAACATATGGATTTCAGATCAGCGGGTGAAAGAGACAGGATGAGTACAAACTTGAAACTGCTTGCTGCAATAGATCTGGGAGTGCTGGCAAGGCCTTTTGTGGGCAAAGAGAGGGAACATCCATTCTGCGAAAACGGCAGCCAATACTGTTGGAGTGGTAATTGAGCCTTGATTTAGCCCCGTGTTTGCTCACATCTCTTACACTTTCCATCATCTTTCTCATCCCACTGCCCCACCTCTTCTGTCACACACACACACACACACACACACACACACAGACACAGCTCTTTGTTCTCAACTGAATCTTTGTATAAAAAGAAAAAAAAAAACTTTTGTAAAATTGTTATGTTTTTGCTTTCTGAGATTTTTATTTGAAATTGTTTTGCAAAATTGTTATATTTCTGTATGAATGTATTTTTTATTGGAATAATAAGAAATTCTTATCTGACTTTGGCTTGATTCCTTTGTCTCATTCGTTGGTTCTCCTCAGTTATGCTTCATTATTGTGAAAGCTTTTTTTCTTTTTGCCCATGGGAGGTTTGCAGCTTGTTGAGGATGAATGGTCGCACTTCAGCTGCACCCTGCCCTCCAGTAATATGGACAGAATCAGATTAGGGTCAGGGTGTGAGCACCAGTGATACATATCTGACATTTTGGATTTGGCACTTAAAAATTGAATTAGAAACACGGATGTTTCACCAAACTCTGTGCAGCAGAAAGTCTTTGTTAGACAGTTGAACCTGCTGCTGCTGCTGCTGCTGCTGCTGCGGGGCACCACATGGCCTCACCTCCTCCTGATTCATAAATACCAGCATGAAAATATCTCTGTTGAATGAGGAAATTACATCTTTGGAGAAAATGGTTGCTAAACACAGAAACCTGACGCACCTCGCTCCCAGTGGCAAACACTCAGATTTAGCTTCTTTTTTCTTTTTTTTCCCCTGAACATTGAAAAGTTTCTGTGAAATCTCACTGCAGTGGTTTCAATTCTAAAAACGGCCGACTGCTCACTCCTTCGAGCTAGCTAGCTCTCATCAAAGCAGTATAAATAATTTATCTCCATCTCTTACAGCCCATGGCATTTAATTAGAGAGCCACTTTTATATATTTGTTAGATAATTACTCTACTTGACACAGATAATGATACAAAACAGTAGTGGATAAACCAAAGAGCCGACTTTAAGTTACAAACTAACAAGAAAATAAGATTAAAAGCGACAAGCTTCGTCTTCTCTGCTCTCCTGCTCACGGTGATGACCTAGAATGGGCAGGCAACTTATTAGCTCCTCTGATTTTCAGTAAAAGCCCTGTGGTTTGTAAATGAAGCTTTGCCTGCAGTTGGTAATTAAGCTCGCTCTGGAGAACCTCCCAGCGTTGGGGTGGTGAAGAATGTTGTTTTTGCCTCAAATGCTGCAGCTCCTTGATCTCTCAAAACTGCCGCCCCACTTGATTTGTCAACTTCAAATGTACCTATGATGCATAATGCATGGCTGAAGAGCAACAAGAGGCTTTCTGAGTCCTTACGACTCACTTGACCCACTCGTGGAGAAAATCCCCGAGGCTCAGGTTCTTGTCTTTAACCTCTTGACACTGGAGTCAGGCACATGTTGTGTTTATTTCCATGCAGCTGACTCACATCCTCACAATAGGAGTAGAACATCCTCTTGTGAAGTGGACCATCATGGGTAAAGTTTCTTGTAAATGTGGCACCGAGATTGCATATTTCCTTTGATGTATCCAGAGAGTGCACGTCCTCCATATGCTTTCCCACATTGATATTGTATCTCAGCCTAAAGCCCAGTGGATTACTGGAAACAATTATTCATTATACATGTCACACATCTAATCTTAATGTCTCAGGGGAGTGCATAAGATCAAGAGTTGCATCCCGTGACAGTGTTATAGCTTGGAAAAGTTTTGTCAGCAGTATATGTAATGGTTAGCCAGTGGTGGGAAGTAACAAAGTCCATTTTATCAAGTCCTGTATTTAAGTACAAATCACCTGTGCTATTTTCTATTTTATGCCACTCTGTACGTCTACTCAGCTGCATTTCATGTAAAATATTGCACTTTTTTAACTCCACTACATTTATCTAGTAGCTACAGTTATTGGTTATTTTTCAGATTAAGATTTAACATGAAGGAGGAAGGTCTCACAATCAAGTCGTCACATGCAGTCTCTGGGTCTGGGTCACCAGTCTGATGGACTTGTTTTCTGCTGCGTTGAAAGTTGAGGCATGAGTCAAGCAGACCCACGGTCGTTGTCTGCTGATCTTTATGAGGCCAGAGTGCAGTACGGTTTTGAAGTCACAGTGAACTTTTCTCTGCATTTAACCACAACACAATCTTTCCCCAAACTTAACCAATCGCTGTGAGTGCCTAAACCACTCTGGTGTCTGGTGTGACAGTCTCCTGACAACTCCGCTAATAAATGCAACGCATTCATTCAAAAACTATGTTAAAAATTGGCACTAAAGGCTTTCCCAGTGCGTTAAAAAGTAACACCTAGGGGCCATGACCAAGCATATATAAAATACAATGCATTGTATCAAATGATTTTTACTCTATACTTACCAGATGATTTCATTTAATAATCGTTAAAAACAAAGAGTACAGTTATCCACCATTTTTCAAAAAGAAGAGGTTATAAAAAATCCCCAAAGATGAACTGAAATGAAATAAGCGTGGCAGATTTTTTTTTTCCCTTGTCGTGTTAGTCATGTGTCAACCCCCCTGGTGTATCTTGTGACCCCTTAGGGAGGGGGCCTGACTCAGTTTGGGAACCACTGGACTTAGCTACCAACGGACTGTGCAGAAATGATTTGGGTGGTGAGATGGGCCGGACCTTGTGTTTCACTTTGTATAAAAGCAACGCCCTCTTCCTGATTATTAATGTTCTGTATGAACCCTCCTCACAGCATTTCAAAATAATATAACAGCGTTAAACTCGTACTGGTCTGTTTGAACATATACTTTAACTAATGTAGACATTAACAAAACCCTGATACAGAGACAAAACTGTTGTCCTTTGCAAATGAAATAAAATCTAAATTTAGCACTAGGAAAAAAAAACTCCTATCAAATAATTTCTGTACAGTCCCTAAATGCATTTCAGTCACCAGTTACTTTACAGATTAAAAGTATTTATGCCAAATACATCATCATCTTATAAATATGATGGTTGTTGTCGATGAAATCTCCCAAACACTATATTATGTTGTTAAAACTCTGCTCCAGCTGGGCCATTTTAATGCATCAGAAATAATAATCCAGTAATATGATATGTAATATGAACCACAATTCTGCATGAGTAAAAGAATCTGAGTATTTCCTCCACCACTGACAGCAAGGCTGAAATAACTACAAGGCCCAGTCTGTTCCCAGATTGCAAAGGGCTGAGCTAATTTGATTAAATGCAAATTTGTTAGGAATATACACCACTGAATATCAA